TTTAAGCCTAGCTAGAAACGGACTGCTTCAAAAGTAATTAGTCATGTGATTGAAAAAAACTATTTTTTGTAAACAAGTAACAAATTATATAATACACAAATAAAGGCAAAACCYGCAGCAATACAATCCAGACACATTCCAAGCATATAGCGTGTGTCCAAAATTATCCCAGCCTTAGCTACTAACAAGTCAATAGAAAAAACACTCAGCCAGCAATAATCAAAGACCAATTATAACGCACAACAATGAAATAYGGCCTGCTATAGTCAGCCAGGCAGCCAACTTCGAGAGGCCCAACAACTAGTTACAGCTAATCATTCGCTGCTCCATGCCTTGCGCCTTTTAAATTTCAATCAAAGACAAGTCAACGCCAAACCAACACTTTAACGCCACTCAACTCAGCTGAACTGAACTCATTCATAGCCGACAATTATAAGCCGTCAACACCAGCATTGTCGAAAGGGACGAATAAACAGGCGCGCTGAGTTGAGGCGTGTATCGAAAACTAGCGCCAACATCACTTGGGGCCACAACAAAAATAACACTAAAGCCTTATTAGTGACGTGTAAGGTCCGAAAGGCGCTCAAGAACTCGCAGTGCACAGTGAAAATAGTAAATTTCAAGCACACATACATACATACCAACACATGTACTCATATTGTATTTGTATGCGTGTGTGTGTGTTAGCATGCATTTTAGTGTTTGGATTTAGAGGTTGAGCGCTTCGAGTGTGCGCAGCTAACTGTACTACGCATCAATGCTCTTGACCTTTTGTTTAATGCTATTAGCTTACATGTGTTGTTGTCGTTCTTGTTGTGTGCGCCACTATTGTGGCCGCTTTACTGTTCATTATATCTACGCTTGGCTAGTCATTTCCAATGAGTGGGCCGCCAGCTATATTTCCTTTGCCACATTTGCCGGTTGTTGTTGTTGTGCTCACATGTGCATGTTGCTTTTGCTTGATAACATAGCTCGGCTTAATTACCAAGTTTTCTAGGCAGACGATTGCACAAACGGAAGAAGGATGTGGAAAACCAGCAGCATGTACAATGTGTATGCGTGGATGGGTGTGTGTATGCAGTAACAGTAGAGTAAAAGCAAGGCAACAAGCACTCAAAATAATAAAAAAACAACAGAAATATGTGTATATAGCTACTTATATGACTTCATTAATTTAGAAAGTTGCCACCTGTTTACGAATTTCATTGATCACTAATTAAAAAAACTGAAGTAAAAATTATAACAAACATATGTAGTTGTCTAAATATAGCTTTCTGATAAAATAAAAACGTACAATTTCTGGCAGAGTTGCCGCCTGTTTTAAATTTCCTAAACAACTAATTTATATGGATATCCAATGGCAGAGTCTTGAAAGTCCTTTTTTTTTCAAAAGTATTTCTGAGGGTTGCCATCACTTAGTAAAATTAAATTAAATTGTGAAAGTTGCCACATGTTGAAGAATTTCAATGCACAGAAATTAAAACAACTAAAGTAAAAATTACAACAARCATATGTATGTAGGTGTCTAAGTATAGCTGTATCATGGTTTAAAATCGAAATTTTTTTGTAATAGTTGCCATCTGTTCTAAATTTAATTGATATGGATATGCAATGGAAGAGTTTTTAGAGTGCTTATTTTCAAAAGTATTTCTGAGCAAATTTAGTAATTTAATCTAGTAATTTTTGACTGGCTTGCCAACTGATCACTCAAAAAAAAATTAATTGATATGGAAATCCTGTGGAAAAGCTTTAAGAGTCCTTTTTTTTTTGGAACATTTTTGCATTTGAAGTTAACTTTTGAAAGTTGCCACCTGTTTTAGAATTTCAATTCACAGAAATTTAAAATCTAAAGTGAAAATAACTACAAATACCTACATGGTCTAAATATAGCAGTATGATGGATCGAACTCCAGCAAATTTTGGCAAACTTGCCACCTGTTCTAAATTAAAAAAAAAAGAGAAGAATGTAATTGATTTTAATTTCTAAGAAAGGTTGCCATCGTTTAATAATATCAAAACAAAGAATGAATTAAAACCGAAAAATTATTTTACGATGTCAGTGGCGATAATTAGYTGACCTTCTATAGACCTAGCTGTGTTCTCAATATTGTCG